ATATATATTATATATAATTATATCTCTAATTTGATTACTTTTAATTTTATATAAAAAATAATATTTTTTTAATAATTATACTATATAACATATTAAATTATAAAATAGGTTAAAACCTCATTTTGGTCCCTCAACTATTGTACGGACCTCCGATTTGGTTCCTGAACTAAAAAAATTCTTGATTTGGTCCCTACTGTTTACCATTTTGACCCTGATTTGGTCCTTCCGTTAAAAACTAGCTTACGTGGATCGTTACTTGACGGAAAAAAAGGTGATAATTTAAATACCTTGCCACATAGGATTGATAATGAAATAAATTATAAAAATAAAATTATTAAATGTTAAATTATAAAGATAAAATTACATTTTTACCCTTTCTTCAACCACACATCACTTTCTTTCCTTCCTCCTTTCGTTGCCCCTTACTTCCCCCTTACTTTTCATCTCCAACCTCTTTCGTTGTTCATCTTCTTCCCTTGGATCCTTGTTTGCCGGCTTGGGTTTTAATCTTCTCCTTTCCTCATCTCCTCATCATCTCTTTCCTTTCATCATTTATCATCTCCTCTTCGAAACCCAGCAGATCTGCTGGGTTGTCGAGAACCCAGCAATATGCTGGGTTCAATTAATCAAACCCAGCAGATCTGCTCGGTTCTTGACAACCCAATGATCTGCTGGGTTCAATTAAATTGAACCCAGCAGATTGTTGGGTTCTCGAGAACCCAGCAGACCGCTGGGTTCTTTGATCTGCTGGGTTCGATTTCCAGCGATCTGCTAGGTTCTCAAGAACCCAATGATTTGCTAGGTTTGATTTTTTTTTTTAAAATATTTATGTTTAGAAGCTTGAATTTTAAGAATATTTTTGGATTGCAACTGATTGTTTTGCTAATGAATATTTTGTTTGTGTGGGCTGTTCTCATTGAGAATTTGGCAAAAATTGGTTGAGGGAAAAAATTTGCCCATATGGCTGCTTGTAATTATCGAACATCTGCTGGGTTCTTGAGAACCCAGCAAATCATTGGGTTCGATCAAAAACCCAACGATTTGTTGGGTTCTCAAGAACCTAGCGATCTTCTGGGTTCGATTTCTTTTTTTTCTTTTTTTCTCTTTTTTTTTTTAAATATTTATGTTTAGAAGCTTGAATTTTGGAAAAATATGCCGAGATATTTTTGAGTTTTTTTGGGGAGGTTGAAAGAAAGAATTTAGGGCGGTGATGGTTTGGGGAGATTCTGGATTTGTATTATTTTTTGGTTTAATGTTAGAAGCTGTTAGGGTTTGCAGAAGGCGAAAGGAAAGGAAGAATACGAAAGGGAAAAAGGGAAAATCAAAGGAAGAAAAAAAAAAGGGAAAAGGAAATATTTTAAGGTTTTTTTTGCCATGTCATTGTTTTTTTTTGCCATATCATTGTTTTTTTGCCATGCTGTCATCTTTTTCCATCAGGTAATGGGACACGTAAGTCAATTTTTAACGGAAGGACTAAATCGGGATCAAAATGGTAAACAGTAGGGTCCAAATCAAGGATTTTTTTAGTTTAAGGACCAAATCGGGGGTCCGTATAATAGTTGAGGGACCAAAATGGGGTTTTAACCTATAAAATATAACAATCAATATCCATTATTCAAATTGTACCATGCCTACATTCGGTTCGTATGTGATGGAAAAAACAAAAGCACCATAATAACTTGAATTAAAAAACAAACATGATTAAAAAGACCATCATTAGAGGAAATGAAGCAATAGTGGTTTGCTTATGCATATCCAATGACAAAAAATTATATTTAATTAATTTAAAATTTGATCTATGTAATAAAATAAAATATTAAATTCAACTATTAGTTTAACGATATATTAGTAATAATAAGAACTTTGAAAAAAATCTTAAAGCTAACGTCAGTCACAGCAATTGAAATATTTCTAATTACAGTATTAATTATAAGCTAATTAGTGGACTTACCTCACAGCCATCTCTGAGATCTCTGGGCAATGAACCAGAAAGTCGCTAACGATTTTTGGCAATCTTTAATACATACCCAGTACCTTCGCAGAGAGCGGAGAAAGGAGTGTTTTTTTTTCTGTTAGAGTTTGATGAGCTCCAAGGATGATGAGATCATTTATATGTATACAAACGCATGACTAAAAAAGTTGAAAGCACTTTAAG